GATTTGTAATAAATACATTTTAAAAATATTAACATGATACCGGTGTCGAAGTCACTCTAATTATAAGAGATCATAGATTATATTGTTACAAATCTGATTGTTATTAGTGATTGATAGTAATCACATTAGTAAAACATACCAATATCAAAACAACTCGTTTTGTCTGAGGACATATTAGAGGTAGAAGTAGTATTTCGTTGTGCGCGCGACGTCAACTCTACGTTGGAGTGTCCGCCCCCGGTTAAATTGGACGCTCTTTGAACAAGAAGTGCGTGTGTAAACTCGGTTGCCAAGAACTTCGAAACAGCTGCCGCCATGTTGCCACATTTCACTTCCGCTGAAGGGAACACTCATTCCGTGGTCGTAAGGAACGTCCATGAAATACGTGCGCCTGTAACTGAACACTTATTTTGAGAAAGCATTTATCACTTAATGTGGTTAGAGCGAGATATGTGTTATGTTTAACATGGCTTTTTATTGTATTAATCGAAATATGAGAGGTTCTTCTATGTTCTGGTAGAGTTTGAATCGACTTCACCGTCCAGTTTTTGCGCAACGAGACCGTAAAGTTTGCTGCTTTAACATGGGCTCTTATGGTGACCTGAGAAATCTGACCTGAAATTTTAAAATTGTGAGAAAATTAACAGTTGAACATGTTTTTAAAAACTTTTCTTTTGGTAGCTAGCATCTCGAAGAATCAACATGCGCAATTTGAAGGAAATCTACCGTTTCAAATGCGAGAATTGTGCAAAATTGTAAGCCTAAATCAGTCCAAAGGGAGACGTTCACGCGCTTTCTAGAAGATCGGGACAGTGACGCGCCATCTCGGCAACACCGCGCGCTCAACGCGCTTCATTCAAATCGAGTGACAAGACCCAAGAGTTCGTAAATTCCTCTGAATCGTCTGGGAGCAATTAAAATATCACCACTCCTGGAGAACATTGCGTTTCATATGTACCAGATATTCAGAAAACTGGAATTTTATGGATATAATGATTAGTGCGATCTGAATGAAAATCTTAATTCAATTAATATTCCCAATGACTCACATTGATACTCCCCTGAGAAAATGGAGAGTTTATAGAATTTTTTAAACATTCATTACAGCATTATTGTTTTGTATTGAGCCGTACGTCAGTTACTTGCACCTGAACAATGATTATTTATTCAATTATTCGAAAATTATTCATATTTCTTTTTTATTATGGAGATACACAGTGGATTGTCATTGTATTTTGCACCACAGATGCTTACACAGAACTCAAAGCAACAATCTTTAGCACAGATATAGCATCTCTATCGGTATTGCTATTGAAAGGGCATTCAATTCAGAAAGAAATAGACTTCGTAGTGGCTCAAATGTGTTGTAATGATAAAATACTGTTTTGCTGGTGTTAATTGGGTTAAATAAAACATTTTATGAAATGTTATGGCAACCATTCAATGCATATGTGAATGGAGTGCTGGATTTCCTCTGAACAAAATTGGACTTGGGACTCCCATCCTCGTGCCCGTTTTTTTAAAATAAATATTAAAAACTTCATAAAATGATTTTATTTGAATAAGCATTCAAGCATATAGTTTACTGAACAACAATGTTTGATTTTAAAAATAAATTGAATGAAATAATAAGAAACAAAACTTGTATTTGTAAATGATAAATTTAAAAAGCAATTTCTACTTTGAAAACAATTTAATAATTTACATCTGTATTGGAACAATGATTTATTCTATCATAATTAGAGTTTTTTTAGATTTATTCATCATTATTTTTAAAGATTTTTCTGACGGCGTGCCCAGTATAGTTTTGTGCTTGAAGGTATATAGTATTTAAATCCGCTTGGGCAAATTTAATAATTGCATTTGTAATTAATAATTACATTTTATTGAAATTGTAAGAGAAATTATATATTCAGCCTTTGGTACTTTCAGTATTTTAATAGAAACTCCTTTTTTTCTTCAGCACTAGATTTTATCTAATTGTTTGCATTTCCCGAAAAATAATCATGGATTTTGAATGGTTCTTATATCTTATTTTCAAAAGATTAAAACCTTTTTTCATTTTGAGTGCAACATGAAGACAAACGATTACAAAAGACTATGCCACATAGAAATCTCTTTTGAAGATTTTATCTCCAACAATGGTATAATTTTATTATTGAAGGTCTCAATAATAGAGCTCTCAGAATTATCTGATGCAGTATTTCTATTTTATCAGCTTTAATTTGATATGTACTTTACACAATAATTTGCATCTAAATCAATATCATAATATGATATAAAATTATACTGAAAACCAGCAAATAGTTTCTACGAAATATAGAAATGCACCCTTGGAAAAAATGCGGCACATGAATCAAAACTATTAAAATGTTAAAAAATGATCATGATGTTTAATTAACTAAGCAAAAATTAAGTAAGACAATAACAAAAAAATAAAAAAATTAAAAAGAAAGAAAGTGATAAGAAGGATATAGAGCAGTAGGAGTCAATGATTACGATTTCAGTCAAGTTAAATATAAAGCTTTATACAATGTTGGAGAGAACTAAACTTTTGATCTTCTTGTTAAGTGATCGAATAATTTTAGGTTAGCCCTACCACTGGTTCAGGTATTCAAGAAATAAAAATTACAGGGAAACAAATATTGAAAACATATTTGAAACATTTTTATTACTTCATTGTTCTTGTGATATTGGGGGAATTTTTTCGCTATCTCGCAAGTTCTGCTTTGGAAATAAACCTTCTGCCAATTCGCTCAGATGGCGATATTTAACGTGTGTGGCCAGACAATGAACAGTATTGAAAGTGAATCAAAGCAACGAAACTTTAAAGAAGTATGTGCCCTGAGCAGTCATGCCAATCTCAGGGACATTACGATGTTGCCCAATTTATTGAAGACTTTTCGCCTCACTCAAACATTGAAATTTATGCTATTGTTAGCAATTACTGCGAAAATATCTATAACATTACATTTTATGATTTTGATCTAACTAATTGTGTAATAGTGCTTTTTTATGTTAAATCGTATGCTTCAATTTTTCATTCCGTGGCCACGCAATCTGTTAAGAAACTAGTCAACGGTAGCTCTTCATGTGGTATTAAAATATTTTTATTTCACATCTATTAAACTAAATTAATTCGAAAAATTAAATAAAACTCAGCATAAAAGTTCCTATTTGGTTTATGTAGGTCCCACAATACCCACTTATCTCGCAAATAATTATTTTTGAACATAATATGGACTATCTACTAGGGAATATCTCGCTCCAACTACCTTAAGGGTTCGCTTATCCTATAAGTGACTACTTATATCCTATAAGTGACTACTATGCATTCGGCCCATGATGTCACAAAAGATACTATTTTTGGAAGGAAAAAGGGCATATTGGATGAAATAATTAATATACATTTTTAAAAAAATATTAGACTTTGTTAGTAACTAATCCTATGAGTAAGCATGTTTCAATGCAGATTTGCGCTACAAAAACAAATATTTAAAAACTCAGGTACACGAGTACCTTAACTTACTGAAGTTATTTTGTCAGTTTGAATGTATAGTGTGAGAGACATCAGTATGCTTTGAAAAACCAGTTTAACTTTCATGGATGTCACACTGTTATCAAGAACTATAAACATATATTACCAGTATTAAAGTCCAAAGGTATTGGGAGGGAGAGTGAAAAAATACTGTTTTCTTCCCTGATCACTACAAGAAAGCAACAGTGTTATCTTACAACTCATTACCAAATGACATTCAACAATTAAATTGATACACAAGTGTACATACAATTATATACCATACTACCAAAGACAAAAATAATATTTATTTCAATAAGAGTATTAGCTACCATTATTATTATAAAACGTTAAATTTGCCCGTAACTAATATTGTACTTCTGCTTGTGTCAATGACTTCAATCTATCAGATTTTCATTCAATTTCCCTTGTCCTATTGGGCAAATGCTGGGATGGACCTTTGCTTTGCTCCTGCATGTAAATGTAGCTTCACTATGTGTATTTTGTTCAGCTCTCTTTTCGCTAGATGCAGACAATAGGGTCACAGATGTGCATTTTGTCAGCAACACTATCAAATCAAGACTTCTTGGCTCTCCGGATGGTGCCGTGACGTTGGCTGAGAGGCCGAGTAACTATGCACTACTATCCTGAAGAGGACTGCGATATGACAGGCGAAACGTCGGCCTCTCAGCCAACAATGCAGCATCACTCAGACAGCCAAGAAGTCATGAACTCGAGCCGCGGAAGCTTAACGTGTACACTATAAAATCAAGTCTTTAGTTTATTTGCCCATGTGAATTCTTTTCTATTAGTGGAGAGCAAACATTTATATTTCTTAAATGTTGCCAACCATGCTCATTGGTACCTCATATTGCAACTACATTTAGTAAAAGGGATGGGTAGGGATTCTGGAGCTCAATAAAATGTGTGCAATAATCTTTCCCTCCCACTAGTAACATAGTTTTACTTTTTTATGACCAATAAATAAATAAATGTATGCTTTTTCTGGTTTCGTTACAAACTTTCAAGATTGTAAGTGATTCAGAATATCTTTGCTCTTCTCAATACCTCTTCATTCTCTTATTCCTTCTGCATCTGTTAAAAATACCTCGATCTTGGTGTTGGTCCTCTTTTGCCCTTGCACCAGTGTCTCCAACATAGCCTCATCTGGCTTTGCTGCTTGTGGATTTCTTCCAGTGTTCTGTTGTTTTCCTATCATTTCTGACTTGATACATTTTATCCTATGAGACAAGTTGCTTCAAGGATACAGGAAGAAATGATCAGCTATGCAGAGAACTCTCTTGTGATAATAAAGGGGAGTATGTTCTCTAACGGAGTGGCCACAATATGAGTCTAGATCCAGATGGGCAGCCTGAATCATCTGGGTACAACTTCAATTGTAACCACACTACCGAAAAGTTCTTTCTCCCATAGAAATTTGCCTAGAAACATCAAATAAACAAATAAATTAATGAAAACTAACCTGCAGATGCAGTTTGAAAATTATGGTATTTCCTAAGAAGAAATTTTCTTTCTTCGCGAACTATCAATTCCTTTTCCTGGATGATGGCTATTTGATCACACAAGGCAGCATTTTCCTGAAATGAATCAAGAAGGAAATCATCAAAATACTACCATTATTTCTTTGTGTACATACATACAATTTCCTAATTAACAAAATGTGAATAAATTTTATGTGCAAATTATTCCCAATTGAAAGGATCAAGTAATTTCATTTTTGCAGTTCTCAAAGAAAATTATTCAATGTAAGATTAATCTTCAATATCCTACATTTTCAAAAAATATGTACACATATGCCCTTTTTATCCAAGATTAAATTCTGATTTAATGTCTTAATTAACAAATACTTCAACCTCAAATTTTAGAACTCAACAATTCACAAAATAAAATGTGTTTGTTTGTAAAGTTTTACATTCTTTAAGTAGTTACTTATAAAATTAAATACTACAAAAAAGGTGCTTTAATGGCTGAAATCACTTCCTTTTTCTTTTCAATTGTGAATGAAAGGGGAACTCTGCATGAGAAAACATCAAGATGCCAGAAGCTCGGAATTTTTTTGTGGCAACATAATTTGTAATTATGAAATAAAAAAAATGTGCTGAGCGCTAAAAGGAACGGTTTTAGGGATGGCAAAATAAATGTTTTTTGTTATAACTTGTAAAATGTCATTATAGTTACATAAAAGTATTAACCCTCTGAGTACCATTGGGTCATTGTTGATCCCAGTCGCTTGGAAATGTTACGGAAATTCATTAAAACACTGAGCAGTTTTAATTGTGGTTCAATGAATTATTTATCTTACTTCATTTTCAATTTCACTGAATACATTTATATATGCCTTACATTATGTAATGATTCCTAGAGAATGAGCTTGGGGTCCTTGACAGACCCCCTGCCCATGGTGTTTGCGGTAACTTTTTTTGGAATAAAATGCTTGGATTTGTTTAATAATATTGCACTTCTAACAAGTGTAAACACATTTTGATATTTTTCCTATCGATCAATAGATGGCAATGAAAAGCAATTTTAAGTTCCAGTCAAAAAAAAATAATTGTCACAACGTACAATTTGGAATGGGGAAAGGACCCCCATGGTATTTCACGTTCCAGCAAGACTGTGGTACTTGGAAAGTTAATTAAATTGACTAACAATATTTATTTACTTATTTTACAATAACACTCAATATTGTTCAACACTTTAAAATTCAAACCTAGAAATAAAGTAGTGAAACAACATAAAAAAATCAGCATTTTCTTAAATAATGAAGTCCAATATGAAGAAAACTAACAATGTGATACAATATGCTCCAAAGACAATAGGAAGAAAATGTGAATATGCAAAAGCAACTTCAATGCTTAGTGTTCATAGAATGATGGTTTTCTGCCTTCAGGAATGGTAAAATATCTTTCACGTACTCAATTTTTATTTGAAAGTTTGTCATCACTTTTCAGTTAAATCTGTGACTGAAAATATTTTTCAGAAAGTACATTCTTTCACATAATCCAAACCCAATAATCTACAACAATCTATTATTTCTGAGATATCTAAATAATTATGTATGTGTGTGTATATATTTACACACACACACACACACACATATCCACTGTGCCCGGGTAAGGAGCCTATTACTTGTATTTAACAATGATATTCCATCACCTTTGAAATCCAAGAAATTATGGCCATCGTGGACTTAAGATGTCTAGGAAGGGCATTTTTGTAGCAGTGAACATCTAAAACAAGTCAAAGGGTACTTCACATCTCATTTTCCTTTCCTCTAAAGTCCTTATTGCAATTCATACATGCATGTTCTTTTACCTAGTATTTGTGATTAATTCAGTTAAATGTACTATTCACAACAAGATTCAATCATAGAAATTGGAAATATTCTGTTGTTTTGGGCTGTACAATTAACACTCAACATGTTTTCAACTTTCTTCCCCATTACCCAAAATAATTTACAGAAAACTAATTCATTGCCTCCTTGAACTTTGTGCCAGAAAAACAGAGATTTGTTTATACCTGCAATATGTACACACAAGAAATAAGCAATCTGACAATAGTAACGACAATACTCTCTGAAAATCCATTTGAATAATTTATTTGGGTTTTAATGGAAATATTTTTATTTAGTACACATTAAATATTGATAATCAATCAAACAAACCGTAATTCATACAATACTGTCAATGGTCTCTGGGCAGAAGTAGAGCACATCCCTACTTCTACACAGCACCGACCAACTCGTGCCTAGACACCACAATTCCAAGATTCCCCCCTGCCCCATTTTTCAGATTTCCAACTAGTATAAAGATTACCGTTACACAAATTGTCATTAATATAATTGTTTTGGTAAATTAACTAATGTTTGACATGTAGCAAAGTTGCAAAGCATGTTTACTGTAAGTTTATTTTGTACTTGTGTTGTCTTTGTGTGCATCTGTTTTGATGAAACTGCAGTAGTCAATACTAGCAAATGAAGTTTGTATTTTCTTGTCAGTTTATATTATTTTGTACTTGTTTGTATGCATTTCTTGTGACTAAATTTGGGTTTTCATTAAAAATATTGATAAGAAGTTTAGTTACTTAATTTGAAATAGTTTTAAAAGTAATTAAAAAATTTACAAGTGTTTTAATGTATTTTTGGGGGGTTGGGAAAAATTTAGTCAACCATCATTTTTCTTTCTTCACATTATCTTTTGAGGCTTCAACTCCATGATGATGTATTTCCTATTTCGACTTAGTACTGCAAGTATTTTACACTATTAGGCATCTCACACATTCCAGTTTCCATTTAAGCCTATCACTGCAGACTTCTGCAGTTAATCCTCTTCCAGCCATCACCTTCTCCACTCCTTCCATTCACTTTAAACTCTTCCTCGTCTTCTGTGAGGCCATCATTGTTCACCCATTCTGTGTAAGTGACCGTACCATTTGAGCCTTTTAATTTCAATGGTATGAATAATGCTGAAACTCATTCTGCTTTTCTTTTTATTCCTTTGTTTCTTACTTTGTCCAACAATGTCAATTCACAGCTTCTTCCCCAATAATCCATTTCCATTTCTGTAGGTTTATTCTCATAACTTTTCGATATTTCCCAAACTTCAGACCCTTATGTGGCATTACTCTCTACAATAGTCTTATACAATCTTCTTTTAACATTCTTCCTCAGAGTTTTCGCAATTAAGGGTGTAATTGCCTTATAGCTACTTTACCTTCTGATATTCTACTCTGAATATCTTGTGTACTACCCGCATTTCCTGCTATTGGGGTAACTAGATAGATTCTGGCAGGATTTCAATTCTGGTCCATAAAACATACACACGGGTCGTGGCTTCTCCTCCTACAATCCGATATTCTGTTTTATTAAAATTTATTTCTAGCCCTCAATTTAAGTACTCTTTATGAAGTTCTAGCAACATATACATCTTAACACCTTGTTTCTCTATTACCATACAGTTTTTTTATAAGAACTTTGTTGTAGACTTTTCTTAAATCTATGAACACCAGGAGAGTTTCTAAATTATGGGCAAGCCATTTGTCGGTCACTAGTCTGATACTAAAAATATCATCAGTACATGAGCATCTCAAGCACTAAAGCAGCTTTGTTCTTCCACATTTAAAAGATCAATTTCAAGACAAAATTTTAGTATTTTTGCATACAGCCAGCTAATACTACAGAGCACAGATATGTCTCTGTAATTCCCACATGGCTTTCCGTCACCTTTTTTGTACATTGTTAGAAATGTAACCTTTTCCTCTTCTGGCACCGCCTCCCCTCATACACCTATTGTACAGTTGGCAGAGAATTTTGAAGAATACACTAGGACTGTTTTTTAACAGCTCCATATACACTGCATCTGGGCATCGAGAGTTTTCATTTTTAAATGTTCTAAGAGCCTTTCCACTTTCATTTGCTGTAATGTCTTCCATGTCATTATCCCCATCTCCAGTATTAATATTGTAAACGATGAATTCTTTTCTGTGTTCTTTCATCCATTTTTGATAATATTCTTTCAAGTGTTGTAAGTTTTTATGTTGTAAGGCGGAACATTGTTTCTCATTTGTTCTTAGTTTTGTTTGTTTCCAAGACTCTTGCTTTGGTATTGCCAATGCATTGATCATTTCTACACATTTCTTTTCCCAGGCAGCGCTCTTAGCTTTTATAATTCCCTTTCTTGTTTCCCCACTTATCTGACTACATCTTTTTGTCATCATCATCTTAAGTACTTAGCCATTTTCTATAAGCATTTTCTTTCTCTTACTTTCTTTTCTAAAGAAATATTCAACCACATATCACTTATTTCCCCTTTATCACTTGCTGCTTCTCTGAGGCTCTCATAAGCAGCTTCATGGATAGCTCTTAATTCTCTGTTGTAGAGAGATTGAGTAGTTGTATAATCTATATTTGATAGCTTTCCACTGGGTCTTAGTTTATATAAAAAATGTATTGAAGAGCGAGTTAGAAGATGCAGTTTATATTTTGGGATTTGTATGCTGAAAGGAGTGTCTTAAATATAATTTTGTTGGCTTTTATTCACAAACGGAAGATACAATTTCAACCTCAGCAAATAATGATCCGAGTAGCATTCGGCACCCCTATATACTCTGATGTCTTCCACCTTGGCTTTGTTGTTATTTTTGAAAGGTTTGTAACCTAATATTGTTCTTCTCGTTCCTCTAATCCATGAAAATTTGTGAATATCCTTATGTTTAAAGAATCCATTCCAGATTTTTAAGCCATATTGCATACACACTTCTATCCGCCTTTGACCATTGTCATTCACAGTTTCCTTTCCATACCTTCCGATAACATCATTTTGGCCTTGCCTTCCTACTCTACCATTAAAATCATCAAGTAAAAATGCATCTTTTCTACGAGCGATTCCACCTAAGACACTAGTCACTTGATTAAAAAATGCCATCTTCCCCGTTTCAGGAACATTGTCATTTGGGGCATATGTCCCCCAAAAAAAATCTCTATTATTTTTATTTTAACACCTACAGTTAAAATATTCACCTTGACACATGTCCAGATCTCAATATTATTTTTATATATATTTAGAATGGCAAAGAGACT